CATGCTGGATACAGTATTCTTGGTTCAAGGCCCTTCTCTTTCATTGTATTAAATATATCATGCCATTCTCTTCTGGCCTGTAATGTTTCTGTTGAGAAGTCTGATGATAGCCTGATGGGTTTTCCTTTGTAGGTGACCTTTTTCCTCTCTCTAGCTGCCTTTAACACTCTGTCCTTGTCTTTGATCTTTGCCATTTTAATTATTATGTGTCTTGGTGTTGTCCTCATTGGCTCCTTTCTGTTGGGAGTTCTGTACACTTCCCTGGTCTGATCGATTATTTCCTCCCCCAGTTTGGGGAAGTTTTTAGCAATTATTTCTTCAAATACACTTTCTATCCCTTTTTCTCTCTCTTCTTCTTCTGGTACCCCTATAATGTGGATATTGTTCCTTTTGGATTGGTGACACAGTTCTCTTAATATTGTTTCATTCCTGGAGATCCTTTTATCTCTTTCTGCATCAGCTTCTATGCATTCCTGTTCTCTGGTTTCTATTCTATCAATGGCCTCTTGCATCTTACCCATTCTGTTTATAAATCCTTCCAGAGATTGTTTCATTTCTGTAATGTACTTCCGGACATCATCCCTTAGCTCTTGCATATTTCTCTGCAGCTCCATCAGCATGGTTATGAGCTTTATTTCTCATTCTTTTTCAGGAAGACTGGTTAGGTCTATCTCCTTCTCAGGGTTTGCCTCTGTGATCTTGGTCTGTATCAATTTCTTCAGCCTTTTCATGGCGATAGATATATTTGTGGGGAGCTGGCATGTGTGTTGGATAAGAGAAAGTCCCTTCTTGCCAGTTTGTGGCCTTCCTCTCCTGGGAGAACAGCAGCCTCTAGTGGCTTGTGCTGGGCAGCTGCACACAGATGGGACTTCTGATCTTGCCTGGCCACTATGGAGTTCAGTTAGCTCTGCAGTTGCTGTGGGTGTGGCCTGCCTCAGGCTGCTTCTCCAATATGGTGGAGCCGTGTCAGAGGGGGAACAGGCAGGAGGCTGTTTATCACTGTGAGGGGCCTCCGAGCTGTGCTGCAGGGGTTTGGGTGCCCAGAGTTCTCCGGGATTCCCAGCTGCTAGGCTAAGTGTTCCAGGGCACTTCCATCCAGCTGTGAGGTCCCTGTCCCTTTAAGACTTTCAAAAAGCACTCACTTTTCTTTGTCCCCGGGGTGCCAGCTGCGGGGACCTGCTCACAGGTCTCACTGTCCTGCTTCCCTAATTTCCAGCACCCCACGCACACACTGTGTGTCTGCGCTCTGGTGCAGATGGCTGGGGCTGGGTATTCAGCAGTCCTGGGCTCCATCTCCCTCCCTGCTCCTACTCCTATCCTCCCAACCGGAAGTTGGTGGGAGGGGTGCTCGGGTCCCGCCGGGCCACAGCTTGTATCTTACCCCCTTCGTGAGGCGCTGGGTTCTGGTGGGTGTGGATGTAGTCTGGCTGTTGTGCTGTATCTTCTGGTCTCTCTTTTAGGATTAGTTGTATTTGTTGTATTTTCAAAAATATATATGGTTTTGGGAGATTTCCACTGCTCTACTCATGCCGCCATCTTGGTTCTCTCCTGAACCTTCCTTTTTAACTTTGAATTGGGGCAGCAGAGGGTAATTTCTTAAATAATATATTAATTCACTTGATAAATATTTTTTGTATACTTTTAAATCAGGGAACATGATTAATAGACATCCAAGACATCCAAGAATGATTCAGCATGACTGGACCATTGAGTTCCTTGCTTAAGAGGAACAAAATTATGTTCAGAAACAGTTTTGTATTTAAAGCTAATTATGTAGCTTTCTGTCAACTACTCTTCATTGACTCAAAACTGATATAATAATGGTCTGAAAGTAAGACGGCATCACTACCTGTAGCAGAAATTAAAGAAAAACACCTGATATAAATACTGTACCTTACAAAGGCAAAATCCCTTAAGAACAGAAAAGGAAGCAAAGACAGGTATGGATGCTACATCTGAAAAGAGGTTACAGAGGTCAGAAAAACAGGACTGAGGAAAGGGGTCAGGAAATAAGTTGAAGGAGTTCTTATGTGATAGCCTATATTTTCTCAGTGAAGGTGAAGAGCAATAAAGTGGGGGATTTATTGTAAGAACGATGAAGACAAGTTTTATTAGTCTGCTCAAGCTATCATAACAAAATGCCATACAATGGATGGCTTAAACAACAAATTTATTTCTCATAGCTCTGGAGGCTAGGAAGTTCAACATTAAGGTCCTAGCCCATTTGGTTCCTGGTGAGAACTCCCTTCCTGGATCGCAGATGACTGCCTTCTTGTGTGATCAGATGGCAGAGAAGAAGTTCTGGTGTCTCTGCCTCTTCATATACAGGCACCCTATCAGATTAGGAGCCAACCCTCGTGACTTCATTTAACTTCATCACTTCTTCACAAGCCCTGTCTCCAAAAACAGTCACTCTGGGAGTGAGGGCTTCAACACAGGAGTTGGGGAAGAGGGGGCACAAACATTCAGTCCATAATAAGAGCTTAAACAGTTTCTATAAGAAACAGAAGGAAGAGACCCCTAGAAGGATAGACAGATACTGTTTGGGGCCACCGAGGGTGAACACCATACAGGTTCAGGAAATCATCAACGATGTTCCACTTCCAACCATGATGAGTAGCTGCTACCAGACTATCCTTACCACCATAAACAACTAGAAAAACAGACAGAACATATTTTTTAAACTTCTTTCAGATTTAGGACAATAGGCATCACAATATTGTTATCTCTGATGGAAGGGAAATAAATGAGATGAGACTTAATGATGGCCCGGACTTTCTGTGTGGAAGCATTTATTGTCTGCTTGCAAGAGAGAGTTCCAGACCATCTCACTAAGCCAAGGAGATAGGTAATGGGGTTGAAGGAAAATGAGGCTGCTGGAATTTATGGGCAGAGTACTAGAAATGTGGGAGTTACACAGAAGAAGAGCTTGAGAAATCTACAGAGTTTCTTTCATCTTAGCATTCTAAGCTTTTTGTGTACAGAGTGAGACAGTCCATGAGTCTGGACAAAAAATGATCACCAGGGACAAAACATCTATCAGGCATCGGTAGGCAGAGCAATTACTAGAGTTCATAAGGAATTGGGAGCTGTACAAGTTGAGACAAATCAAGATATAGACATGTCACTGAACACTTGGGTCATTCAGTAAAGTCCCAGAAAGATCATATCATAGGAGTAAGGATAAATTATCTTTAGAATAAAAGTAACTCTAGACTTTCCTTAGCAAACCTTAAACAAATTAACTGAGAAAAGATTAACCTATCTTCAGATAAATTAACTGACAGAATAAAATTCAACACTAGTTAAACAAAGAGAAAAATATCCAAGCACTTAACAATGTAACTTACAAAATATCCAGGATTTAATTTAAAAATTACTATATCTGTAGAAAGCAGGAAAATCTGACATTGCCAAAAGAAAAATAAAAAATAGAAACACACATAAAAATTATAAGAATAACAGAACTAGTAGATAAGTTCTTTAAAAAAACAGCTATTCTAAAAATGTTCAAGGATTTCACAGAAAAATGGAGAGAAGTCGAAATTTTAAAAATGATCTAATTAAACTTCTAGAGATAAATCAATATCAGTAATGAAAAACTTCACTGGGAGGGCTTAATAACAGATTAGACACTGCCTTTTTTTTTTTTACTAAGAAAACACTGTTTAATTCTTTTGGGGGCAGGCAATTAACAATAGCAACAAAAATCTCTGCTACGAAACTAGCCAAAAGCCACTAATGACCAATGATTTTCTTGTTATATACTATAATCAAATTATAATTTCTTGTGCCTTCCTCTCTCTCTGTCTCTTCTGAGATGTTTCTAAAATCAAGGTTGACTGCATGCATCTTTTTTTTCCTATAAGGTAGTTGAAGGCAAAAGAAGTTACCAAAAGCCAGGAAGAATTAGGAAGCAAGCTACATTCATCTTTACTCACACGTCAGTAGCATGGTGCTATTACATGAATTGTGGGTGCCCTTTTTTCCAGTTTTGGTGAGTAATGCTTCCTTTACTGGTATTTTAGACAGAAGTTAATGATTTTTTTAAGACAGTTACACACACATAGTGCTGAACTTGAAGACATGGCAGTAAGCACTTCAAAATGAAGCACAGAAAGAATAGAAGAAGGTTAACAAAAAGTGAACAGTAATTCAGTGATTTGTGGGACAATATTAAGTTGTCTAATATAGGTGTAATTGTAGTCTCAGAAGAAGGAAGGAAACAGAAAAATATTTGAAAAAAAATAGAAACCTGCATATCCATAGCTCAGTGAATTCCAAGGAGGCAAAACTACAACAAGGCACATTATAATCAAATTGCTGAAAATTCAATGATAAAAAGAAAAGTCTTAAAAGAACAAGAAGGACAGATGTCCAAGGTAGCCACATAGAAAAAACCTGGACTCACCCCCTCCCATGCACACCTAATCTACCCCTAATGTGCAGGGGGAGTGTAAATAATGATGCTCCGCAGCACCTCTGATCCCAGAGAGAATCTACATCTACATACAGAGCAACTCCTCCTGAGGAAGAACTGAGGGCTGAATGAACAGCTTCTGCACACAAAGGGATAGAGAGACCACATTCTTTGAAAATGGCAAGAGAGATGGAGACATGGTTATGTAAGAACCCACCCCCAATTCCAAGACCTGCAGCAGGGCAAGAGACCACTGAGGGACTGTGCACAGACACGTGCACACCTGCCCCTGGGACACACACACAAAAATGCCCTTGAAAGGCAACTAGACTGTAAGTAGTGAAAGAAGCCAATTTTCAAAGTGAGAGGAGCAGCCAAACTGCAGAGAAACTGCTAGAACTCTCTCCAGGATCACATTCTTTTCATGTGTACGTGGAACATTTTTCCAGGATGGATCACAGGCTAGGTCACAAAACTAGGCTCAATAAACTTAAGAAGACTGAAATCATACCAAGCACCTTTTCTGAACAGGATGATATGAAATTGGAAATCAGTCACCAGAAAAAAACTGGAAGAAACACAAACACATCAGACTAAACAACACGCTACAGAACAACCATTGAGTCAATGAAGAAAACTAGAGGAATTAAAAAAAAAAGTTGGAGACTAATGGAAATAGAAACACAATGGTTCAAAATCTTTGGGACTCAATAAAAGGAGTCCTAAGAGGAAAGCTTATAATGATACAGGCCTACCTCAAGAAATAGGAAAAATCTCAAGCAATCTAACCTTACACCTAAAGGCCTAAAAAAGAACAAACAAAATCCAAAATTAGTAGGAGGGTGGAAATAGTAAATGTCAAGGCAGAAATAAATGAAATAAAGGCTTAAAAGATTAATGAAACTAAGAGCTGGTTCTTAGAAAAGATAAAACTGGTAAACCTTTAGCTAGACCCATCAAGAAAAAAAGATAGAGGACTCAAATAAATAAAATCAGAAATGAAAGAGGAGAAGTTAAAAACCTTTACAAATGTTTCAGCATTTACCAAGCAGTCCCACAAAGTAGAAATTACTTATCTATCAAAATAGGACAGAATATAACCAGTACTTGGAATTACGGTTTATATTCCAGAGATCAATTTAATGAGTTGTAAAATATAGATATATGATTCTTATTTTTATGAATTCGCCATCTAAGGAATAAAGATAATATGCATAAATATTTTAACTAACTGAAAGTTGCAATAAGATGAGCCCCATTTACAGTCCACAATAGAGGCATAATGTAAAATTAAAGGATTAGAGATTAAAAGTGTCTCTTACAACTACAGACTATCTACTGTTAAAAGAACATATGGGATGTGAACAGCTCCCAGGAATGGGTTGTTTTAATTTGTCTGATTTCTCTCAGACTGTTCAAGTACAGTTGGACAATATCCATCATATCATAGACAAATTTTCACAAATGCCTAGGGTGCCTAACTGGTTTTCTTGGCTTCACAGGAGATGGCTAGTAATTATAGATCTGCTTTGGTTATGTAACTGTATTCCTACTATGTTAATGTGTGTGCGCAATTTAATTAGTAGTTTAAAACCTATACATGCTTAAGTTACTCTACAAGAAGATATGTCAAAGAAATAATCAATCTTCCCATGTTTTCTTCTGTCTGCTACTTCTATAGCTTTTCTTCTTCCTTCCTAATTACAACCCTTAAATAGAATTCATGCCTCATATCGAATTTACCGAGTATCATAATTCCTCCAGGTGGTAAAGATACCTCGAGACAAATGCTGGGCATAGAAGCCACAGGGCATAAATCTGCAAAGAAGTAAAAAGTTAACCTTTTCAAACAATATGGCTTCTCTCTCACTTACCAACTTTACATCTCCCTGTATGGCCCCGGAAGATGACTGGTTAGCCAGAGACGGGTAAAATTCCTCAAGGGAGGAACAACCTAAGACAGGCACAGTCGCAGGGGGGCCATCAGGTGAGAAATTGGGGATCAACAGTGGTGAGGCTTAGAACCTCACCCCCCCTGTTTTGAGAGAAATCTTCTGCATCTGTGGATGTTTTAATGCCCTTGTCTAGCTTGGATTAATACTTAGTCCATAGGCACACACCTGATCATCTACATTTGCTCTCTTACAGCACTAAACTATGTTTTCTACCTTTATCTTGCATCTACCTACCACTTCAGCATTTTATTAAAAATAATAAAGGGAGAAATGTGGGATCCACATATAAATCAAGTATAAAAATCAAACGAATATTCATATTTGACCTGATTGTTTATAGTTCATAATGCGTGATCAAAACCGAAAGTTTCTGTGATGACTGCCCTTGTACTGTTCACCATGTAAGAACTTATTCACTATTTAAGAATTTGTTTACCATGTAAGAACTTGTTCATTACGCTTCAGAAGATTGGAGACTGACAAGAATTAGGCTTGGGGTGGATTAATGATTGTGCACTGAGCATTGACTCCCCTATACAGAATTTTATTGTTGTTAACAATCATTTGATCAATAAATATGAGAGATGCCCTCTCAAAACAAAACAAAAACAAAACAAAACAAAAAAAAAGGTAATTGTCACAGTATCTAAAATCTGTTGCACCTTAAATGACAACATATGCTTGAAAAGGAAGAAAGTAAAAACATTCCTTTCATTCTTATTTCCTACAGCTTTAATTTCTCCATTTTTGGTTGTTATAGTTATGGTCATGCAAAAGGATGACCTCTAAAAAATGAAATAGCCTAAAACAAGTTGTAAAACATACATTTCTTTAAGATACGACTTTCACCATTCACGTAAGGTTCATAAAACCACCCTTTGCACAAACATGGTGACAATAACTAGTTAAGATAAAATTAGTCATACAAACCTGTAACACTGCTCTTTCTGGTAGCAGTGAAATGTCACATTCAGGAATATCACCTACAAGACAGACTTCAGATAGATCAGGGGAAATGAATTCTTCTTTAGCAACAAATCTGAATTTTAAGTTGTTTTTCCATTCTTTCAATTGAAGTTCATATTTTAACAGCTGCCACAAAAATAATTCACAGATTCCATGGAATTATTATAAGAGTTAGATGAGATGATAAATACAAAGTCCAGTGCTTTGCACTATAATGGCACTAATTGAACATTATTTATTATTATCATCATCATTACATTAGTTATCTTTGTCCACAGCATACTTATTATACTCTGAGCCACCACAGCTTTATGTATCATTTCCAGTAGTTGTCATACAACATTGGCAGAGGCAGCCTTAAAGATGTGGTCCATCCTCCTCTTTCATAGATGAGGAAGCCGAAATCCTCAAAGTGGAGGTTCTGTTAAGGATAGGACTGGTATTTGGGGCATGGAAAAGAGGTGGTTAGCATGGAGATAAAAAAGGAGAGTTAAAAGGAAGGAATTTGGGACTTGCCTGCTTTATGGTTATAGGAAGTCACTATTTTAACTTTTGATACATTCCTGAAAACTGCATAATCAAGAAAAAGCCCTAAGGTAGACACGTGTTTCACACACACACAATTTGGGTGTAGTTTATATAAGTATTAGAGCCCGAGGAAGGGCACACACAGACTGGAGAACCAGCAGCCCCGAGTTCCCTGCTTCCCCTCCCAGCCCACCCCTGCCATCCTCACTCCGTCTTCCTAAGGGAAGGCAGAGTGATTGTTAGGCCAAGACATCACAGAGCAAGAGGAAACATTTTCTCTAGACACCCGATTAACTATATAATATGCAACTATATTAAGGATAATATTATCATATTATATATAAATACATTATTATGTATATATGAATGTATATTAACTACTGTGCACACAAAAAAAACAAAAAACAAAAACATTATGCTTGGTGCATGGGAATGATTAAGAATAATGCTGCCCCCTCTCAGCAGCAGACTAACAATTATCCTCTTAGGGTGTAAATTTAAGAGGGGAGGAAAGAAGAAGACTGGTCACGTAGGATCACCTATTTCACCATTAGACAATCAGTGATCAGGCATGGTGGGGCCAGGGTCAAAACACTAGCACACAGAGTAGTGGAAAACACTCAGTGCACAGACTAAAACGGTGATACCCAAAGTGTAACTGTTTAACTGGCAACACTGAAAATGCAGTCCACAGCCTATAAGAACTGCAGCTCAAAACCAGTGGGTGATAAACTTCTGAGAGCGAGAACTGTGCTTTATGCCTCTCAGAATCCTCCACAGACTCTAGAATCATTTCAAGGGTTACGTGAGTAATAAATCTTTTCATACTCTCTTGGTATATGTGTGGCATTGTCAGTCTCAACACCTGAACCAGTTTGGGGTGAGAGGCATTGATCCTGCCTTCCTTGGGGCAACCGCAGAACAGGGGATTTAATTTCTTTCAATTTTTCTTTTTCCTATTTATCCCAACTTTGTTTTTCAAAGAATATTAATGAAACAATACGTACTGAATAATGTAACTACAAAAAAGTCCAGCATTTTTCTACATCTGATCCTAGTACTTACTGTGAATATTCTAAAACCACCTTAAATAATAACATATTAATAGCTTAAGCAAACTAGAGATAT